ATCATTTACATATTTTCTTTTTAGATAGAACATACAAACAGCCAATAACAATTAACTGTTTGAATATATTAAACTATACCCATTTTATATTCCTGTACATTTAAGCCTGAATGGTCAATATTATATTGGACACCTTCCAATATCTTAAGCATATTTAATGTCTACAGTATTTTTGCAGTTGTACTTTATCACACTTTTAAGCAACTGGCTCTTATGAATACGGCAATTCATTACATTACACATATTACATATTCATCATTATTTTGAAGGATCACTAAATGCCTATTTTCACAGACCTTGATGAGATGTTGGTCTTTCACTAAATTCTGACACATAGAGAGAGACACTGTACACTGTCTTGTTAATGAATTAGAAGAATAGACAGAAAAAACAGGGAGAGTGAGAACGCTAGTGAGGTTAAGTGTTATTACATTCGTTTTTGTGAAGAAAGTGCGGTTTTTACTCTAATACGGTGGTGTTAGACAACAGTAGTAAGATTCCGTATATTGCAGAATTAGTTTTGGTTTCCTTATCGCGAGTTACGAGTACGTATAGTGCGGGGTTCGAGCAAAAACACAACGGCCGGAAGCACACGTGCTTCCGACCGGGGACTCTCACAATATAAAATGAGTGGCCTAGAAATGGAAGCAGATACAATGGAAGAGGTAGGAATACACGACGAAGCAGGGGAAGAAGTGGTGATGGCGGATGTGGATTATGCAGAGATAAACAATAAGACGGGTACACAAAAGAAGAGGGTGGCAGGAAAAACAGGACCTGAACTGTCGTCAGAAGAGGAACTGATGGCACAATTTAGCACCGTTAGAAGCCGTAAAAAACCAAGGAAACTGGTAACTGATGTCGTAAAGAAGAGCACAAATAGCCAGCAGAAGTCCAAAGAGATACAGAATCAGAAGGAAATCCAGGAAAGGGCTGAAGAAGGAAGAACGGAAACGGCAGAATCCGGAGCACGAGACCTCGGAAATGAAGATACAAATGTTGGAAAAGAAGAGCTAGAAGAAGGTTTCAAGAGCAATAGAAATGGGCAATTCAACGACTTACGTTTTAATACGTATGATAAAGGGCCGTATAGCATTCACATAAAGGCCAAGAAGCCTGACTCCCCAACCAAGGATAGGGAAAAGGTGAAGAAGTGGGGACAATTTGACATCTTCAATGTCATGTCCAAACACAAGATCAGGTTCCAATGTATTAAACAGTACGCTCGATTTATTTGGGAAGTGACCTTCTTAGGAAGACTAGAAGCAAATAAAGTGTTGGACAGCCCCATACTCCAAAGCGAAGGACTAACCGCATACATACCGAGATATATGGTTGCCAAAAAGGGTGTCATTAAAGATGTACCATTGGACATGGATTTAGAAAATTTGAGGCGACAGATTAATTTGGACAATCAGAACAAACATCCCGCACCTTTCTATATAATGGACGCAGTTAGACTTAAGATGAGAACCAAAGAGATAAATGTAGAAACTAAGGTAGAAAGATGGGTATGGAAAGAGTCGAGAGCAGTATGTTTGACGTTTAGAACCAAAGAAATGCCC